GAAATGTAGCTGCGGCCTAGTCGGCGCAGGGGGGCCGTGCACCAGGGGCCCCAACAATAATTATTCTTTAGAATTAATAATGTTCAACAACAACAACAACAACAACACCAACAACAACAACAACAACAACAACACCAACAACAACAACACCACCACCACCACCAACAACAACAACAACAACTCCAACAACAACAGCAACAGCAGCGGCAGCAACCACAATAGCAACAACAACAACAACAACAACAACAATAACCACAACATCAACAACAACAACAACAATAACAGCAACACTAATCATTCTGAGACTAGTCGCTCTTACTTGCCCGCGTGTTATTCAAAACGAGTTCCCCACACCCTCGATACCCGCCCTTTTTGTCTTCGGTCACACCCCCTTTGGGGGGATTATTTCTCTTTGCGGGGGGCGGCGGGCCTAGACAGGCGGACAATCCTTCGTGGGCGTACATGTGCCTGCCATTGGAATTGGTGTGGGCCCGCAAAAAAAGGAGGGGGAGAACGAGGGAGAGTGGGAGGAAGGGAGAAGGAGGGACGAAGGAAGAGGGAAAACGCCAGGAGAGAAGGAGCGAAGAGTGGGGCGGCTCATTAGAGGCAGAGAGAGAAAGAGAAAGACAGATAAGAGAGGTACAGAGAGAGAGAGGGGAGAGAGAGAAAGAGAAAGAAAGAGGGAGGGAGGAGGCGGGAGAGGGGAGGAAGAAGGGAGGCGGGATAGGAGGGAGAGGGGATAGGGCAGAGAGGCAAAGGATGAGGGAAGAGAGGAGGGAGAGAGAAGGGAAAAGAGGAGGGAGGAGGGAGAGGAAGGAGGAGCAGGAAAGTAAGAGCGTGAACGTTCGAGGAAGTCCTAGGCGAAAGCGCCGTTCCTGAAGGAAGTCTCGGGCGGGAGCCCACGACGGGCGGGCGATCCCCTGACGGGCGGGTCGGGCGGGTGGGACATTCAAGCGGGATGCCTGAGTATGGCGAAAGCGCGATTACTAAGTAAATTGTAAAGGCGTCCTTGGCGAAGCGTGTTTCCTGAGCGTCGAGAGCGCGAGTTCTGAATAAATGGCATGGAAGTCACAGGCGAGATCGCAATTCCTAAATAACATGTGAAGGGTTCTCTGGCGGGAGCGGGGGTTTCGATCAAATTGCGAGGAAATCTTGATTCAATTGCGCGGAAGTCTCAAGCGGGAGCGCCGTTCCTGAGTAAAGTGTGAGGAAATCTCAAATGGGAGCGGGGGTTCTGACTAGTTTGCGAGGAAGTCACAGGCGGGAGCACCGATCCTGAGGAAATTGTAAGGAAGTCTCAGGGGCGGGGGTCCTGAGTAAACTTGGAGGACGTCTCAGGCGGGAGCCGTTATTGTTGTAATTCGGGGGGCCAGGGGCCAAGTTTGAGCACCAGGACTTTCCCTGTCAGAAAAAACAAGGTGCGAGCGTCGAGGGGCACACTTTGATTGAGAAAAAACGGTATGCACCGGTGAGGGGGGGTCAACAATAATTAGTTTTCAGAAATGGAAGTTCAACAACAACAACAACACCAACAACAACAGCAATCACAACAACAACAGCAACAACAACAACGACGACGACAACAACAACAACACCAACAACAACGACAACAACAACAACAACAACAACAGCAACAACACCAGCAACAACACCAACAACAACAGCAACAACAACAACACCAACAACAACAACAACAACTACAACAGCAGCAGCAACAAAACAATAATAACATCACCGACCGACCGACAGACCGACCGACCACGGCGACGACGACGAAGACGACGACGGCGACGATGTCACCCACCACCGACGACGACGACGACGGCGGCGGCAGCGGCGGAGGCGGCGGCGAATGCTTCGGCGGCGGCAGCGGAGGCGGCGGCGGCGGCAGCGGCGACAACGACCAACGAGGAACGACAAGCGACATGCGACAAACAGTGACCGACGACGACGACGACAGCGACGAGCCCCGACCCGACACCGCCTCAAAAATCCATCTCCAGACATCTCGCAAGCTAAGTCTTGGCAAGAATCTCACGCAATGGAATTCACCCGTTGCGGCGTGCTACCACCACGAGGGCAAGAAAGGGCAAACACAAAGCAACGACCTGGATCCTCAGATCCCGATCCTGCAACGACAATGACGGCGAGAAAGGCGGCGACGACGACCCCAAAAGTCTTAACAACTTCCGTGGGAGCAGCATTTCGCCCCAGAGCAATTCTGGATGGCCCCAAGGCGGCGACGCCGGCGGCGGGCGGCGGCGACAACGATGACAATGACGCCGGCGGCGGCGGCGGGCGGGCGGCGACGATGACGACGACTCTCAGGAGCCTCCGAGAACTTCCCTGAACGTGCGAGAACCTCCGGAAACTTCCGCTAATCATAGAAAGCAACCGAACATCGCCCGGAAAACGTCGTCGACGATGGCGCGCCTTCGGCGGCGGCAACAGTGGCAGCGGCCGCGGCGACGGCCGCGAAGACGGCGGCGATAGGCGACGACTGCGGCGAGCCTCGAACCTCGATCCTACATCGACACTGTACGGCGGCAACAGCGACGACGAACCACGAATCACGAATCACGAAGCACGAACGACGACGACGAAGACGACGATGACGACGACGACGACGACGACGACGACGACGACGACGACGACGACGACTCGAATACAGTCGGGCAGCGCACTCCTTCCCAAGGAGCAAGGAGGGGTGGAGGCGGAGGAGGCAGGAGGGGCAGGAGGACGCAGGAGGGGCAGGAGGAGGAGGAGGAGGAGGAGGAGAAGGAGGCAAAGGGGTGGAGGCAGGAGGGGTGGAGTAGGCGGAGGGCGAGGAAGAGGAGCGATCCCCAAGACGCCCCCCCAAACCCTGCGACCTGCACCGCAGCACCGAGGCGGAACGGAACAAAACACAAAATGCGGTGTCCTGTGAGCGCGGCCGCGCTTGAGCGGTCCGCTTCCTCCTCCTCCTCCTCCTCCTCCTCCTCCTCCTCCTCCTCCTACCTGCACCTCCTCCTCTCCTCTTCCTGCTCCCTCTTCCTGCTCCTGCTCCTGCGCTCCTCCTCCTCCTCCTCCTCCTCCCTCCTCCTCCTCCTCCTCCTGCTCCTCCTCCTCCTTTCATCCCCACCAAGAAAGCCTCTGGGTCACCCTAGGGGTCCCCACCCACAGCCACCCAGAAAGAACCCCCCCCCTTGGGGGCCATGGTCCTCGTGTCCTTGCCACCAACCGAAAACGCCACCTCCACCTCCCTCCTCCCTCCTCCTCCTCCCCCCTCCTCCCCCTCCCCTCCTCCTCCCCTCCTCCTCCTCCTCTCCTCCTCCTCCCCCACCTCCTCCACCTCCTCCTCCAGCCTCCTCCGCCCTCCTACCTCCATCCTCCTCTCCTCCCTCCCTCCCTCCCCTCCCTCCTTCTCCCTCCCTTCCCCTCCCTCCCTCCATCCCTCCTCCCTCCCCACCCACACCTCCCTCCCTCCCTCCCTCCCACCCTCCCTCTCCTCCCAACCCCCCCCCGCCCAAAAGCTGCGGCGTCCTGCGAGCACGGCCGCGCGGGCGCCCCCGGCGACGCCGTGCGCGACGCCGCCCGCCGGTGCGCGGCCGCGTGCTGCGCCGCCGCCTGCGCCGCGAGGTGCGAGGCGACCACGCTGGGCGGCGGCGCGCCCACGGCCACGAACCTGCCGCGGCGGCGGGCGACGACGACGAGGACGACGAGGGACGACGACGACGACGACGAGGAGGACGACGAGGGACGACGACGACGACGACGACGACGACGACGACGACGACGACGACGACGACGACGAGGGACGACGACGACGACGAGGACGACGAGGACGACGACGGACGACGACGACGGACGACGTCGACGTCGACGACGACGACGACGACGACGACGACGACGACGACGACGACGACGACGACGACATGGCGCCCAGCGGCTCACACGGCCGAGCCGGGCGGCGAGCAACGACCCCCTCGCGTTGTAAAACCGACAATAATCACGACGGGAGGTTTTTCCCAATGTTCGACCTCTGGGAGCCCTTACCAGGCCTCGGGGCCTTCAAAACGACTCGGGAGGAAAGACGGGTCCCGGGGAAAGGTCGAGACCTCTGGGAGTCGACGTTGTGAAAAAATCGCGACGCCCGCGGCGGCGGGTGAGGATAAATCGAGAGTATCTGAGATCTGGCGGCTCTGGAGGATGTCTCGGGCGCCGCGGCCTTCTCAGAGCGTTGCGGGACGCTCTGAGAGCGCTCCGGCCGGCCCCGTCCGAGGCGACCGAGCTCCAGGCCGCTCCGAGGCCTCGACCTTCGACGGCGACCGACGACGAACCACGACGACGACGTCGACGGACGACGACGGACGACGACGGACGACGACGGACGACGGCGCATGACGACGCATGACGACGAACCACGACGAACCACGACGACGACGACGAACCACGACGACGACGACGACGACGACGACGACGACGACGACGACGACGACGACGACGACGGACGACGACGCGACGCCGCGCCCAGCCTCGATCCTCGATCCTCCGTGCCTCGATCCTCGACCCTCAGTCCTCCATAATTCTCGATCCTCCAGCCGCTCCACCCTCGCTCCTCCGCCCTCCATCCTCCGTCCTCCACCCTCGCTCCTCCACCCTCGATCCTCCATCCTCGCACACCCCCCTCGATCCTCCGTCCTCCGCCCTCGATCCTCCACCCTCGCCCCTCCGCCCTCGATCCTCCGTCCTCCGTCCTCGCTCCTCCGCCCTCGATCCTCCATCCTCGCACCCCCCCCCGCGCGAGACGCCGCGGCAAGGGGGGTGGGGGGGGGGCCTACAGCCCGCCGGGGGCGTGGGGCAGCACATCCTGGCGGCGGGCGCCGCGGCGCCACGGGGCGGGGCCACCACCTGGGGGGGCGGCGAGGGCAGCAGCGACGAAGGGGACGACGAGGTCGGAGGACGAAAGGCGTCGTCGCCGTCGTCGTCGACGACGACGGCGACGACGACGAAGGACGGCGACGAGGGCCGACGTCGACGAGGACGGCGAGGACAACAGCGACGAAGGGGGCGAATGATGAACGAGGCCGGGCGACTGGCATATGGGGGACAGCGGAACGCGGAAGGAGGAGAAGCTGGGCCGAAAGGAGGAGGGGGGAAAGTGTCCAGGGGCGGGGCAGTGGGGCGAGGGCACGCGGAGTGGCGAGGGAGAGGCGCGAGAGAGGAGGGAGACAGGGGGAAGGACTGAGAGTGGGGATGCTGACGGGTTGGCGATGGGGCGTGAAGGAGGTGGAAGACGACCCTCCTCCCTCCGATTCGCGCGCCCCCTGCCACTCCCTCCCGTCTCCACCCCCATCCTCCGCCCAGGGTCCGTCATCGTTCCTCCACCTTGTTCTTCCCTTCATCGATCCTCGGACTCTCCTCCTCGCGCTCACCCTCCACGACCCTCGAATCCCCAGGCAAAGGTGAGCGCGCGCGCAGGGGGGGGGTACGGAGGAAAAGGATGGAGGATTGATAGTGGATGGAACAATGGGGACGCGATGGCACGAGGGTGGAGTGAGGGATGCAAGAGAAAGGAGGAGGGATCACGGATGAAGGAGATGAAATATTATAGAGAACGGGGGACGGAGAGGCGCGAAGGAAAGGAGGAATGCGGAAGGCGAAAGGACGAGGGCCGATGGAGGGAGGATGGCGAAGAGAAACAAGTCGGCGGGAGGCTGGAGCAGGCGGGCGAGGGGAGAGAACAAACCATATGCATAACCTATATGGGTTCGCACTCGCGCTCGCTCTCGCTCATCGAGCAGGCCGCCGAACGTTTGAATGGGCGAATGCGACGGCGAATCGGCGTCGTGGAGACGCATGCGCCTGTATTGCTCGAAGCTCAGCGTGCATCTGGCAACGCCTTTGGCTACGCCGTTCTCAGCCTGCGCGTGTCGCGTCCTGAAAGATGGGGACGGCGGTCGAGTCTTGTCTACGTGCTATCCCCATACCAAGAATATACACTTGCAGCTCTCTACCGGGCCGCAACGATCTCAAAATATTGACGTTTGTTCGGTCATCGCTGCAATCGCACCATGCCAGGTTGCAGCGCGCCCGCTAAACATTTTGCCCAACTGCGCGTGGAAAACGAAAGCTTCACGGACCGTACATATGTGAAGTCGTCAGGTGGATGGGTGCGAAGCGAAACTGTATGCGTTTTGTTCCGCTGGCGACGAGAGCTGCCGTACGACTGCGCCACATGCGACATGAAAAAATAAGCCTGGTGAAGGACCCAACCATATGCAGTTGTGAGTACCGCAATTGTGAATATCTTCTTCGGTGGCGCTCCCTATGGGGCCACGGAGCGCTGTACTGAGTGGGCGAAACGCAAGGAGCAAGGGCTGTGCTGGGTGGTGGCGGACGCATGCGGGCGGTGCCACGGGGACCTTCGGTGGAGCTCCCTATGGGGCCACGGAACGCTGTACTGGGTGGGTGGAACGCAGGAAGCAAGGGCTGTGCTTGGTGGTGGCGGACGCATGCGGGCTGTGCCACTGGGACCTTCGGTGGAGCCCCCTTATGGGGCCACGGAACGCTGTACTGTGTGGGTGGAACGAAGGGAGACATGGCTGTGCTGGGTGGTGGCGGACGCATGCGGGCGGTGCCACTGGCACCTTCGATGGAGCCCCCTTATGGGGCCACGAAACGCTGTACTGTGTGGGTGGAACGAAGGGAGAAATGGCTGTGCTGGGTGGTGGCGGACGCATGCGGGCGGTGCCACTGGAACCTTCGATGGAGCCCCCTTATGGGGCCACGAAACGCTGTACTGTGTGGGTGGAACGAAAGGAGAAATGGCTGGACTGGGTGTTGGCGGACGCATGCGGGCGGTGCCACTGGGACCTTCGGTGGAGCGCCCCTATGGGGCCACGGAACGCTGTACTGGGTGGGTGAAGCGAAGGAGCAAGGGCTGTGCTGGGTGGTGGCGGACGCATGCGGGCGGTGCCGCTGGGACCTTCGGAGGAGCTCCCTATGGGGCCACGGTACGCTGTACTGGGTGGGTGAAGCGAAGGGGTCCGATGCCGCTGCTCCCTGGACTCCGGGGTCCGCGAACCTTATGTCGGGCCTGTCCCCCTACAGGGGCATCTTCGATGAGAAATAATAAATACCCCCCAAAATGCACCAAAAAATACAAAAAAAAAAAAAAAAAATGGTCCCCATACTATTTTTGCATTATTTTGGGAACACTTGTTTTTTTTTTTTCGTCTAAAATCCTTATGTAGGGGGACAGGCCCGACTTAACGCTAACCCCGGGTCAATCAGACCCAGGTCAGCAGAACCCAAAAAACCGCAGTGCAGGAAAGACAAAAGCTGCGACGCAGGGCCTCGCAAGCCCGGGTCCGCCAATGTGCGCGGCCGCCTCGCGGCCACGAGCGGCTCGCTGACCCGGGTCAGCCAGAGGGGGTCTTCGCAGGATCCTGCAGGATCCGGTGCCCTGGCTGACCTCCGTTTGAATTGACCCCCGTCTCTTGAGCCCCGAGGGACCTCCTCCTGGGGCGCGCCGGACCCCAGGATCTCGAGGCGCTTCTGGCCGTGGCGACGAGGGCCTCCCCCAGAAGGCCGGAGAAAGGGAAAACGATGCGAGGGTTAGCGGCACGGGCACCTTTTCCGAATGTCCCTCGATCCTCGACCCTGCCCGCCCCTCCTGCTGGCCAGAACCAGTGCTGGGCCACCTCAGACCCCCCGACGGCTCCGACCCCTGACGATCCTTCCTCGAATCGAGCCTCGAGCCTCGAGCCTCGATCCTCGATCCTCGACCCTCGAATCGCTCCTCGTGCCTCGATCCGAGAGCACAGGGGGCCACCGCCGTCACGAGGCCGGGGCTGCTGGATCCTCAAACCCCGATCCCCGATTCTCGACCCTCGACCCTGAATCCTCGATCCTCGATCCTCGATATGATCCTCGACCCTTGACCCTTGACCCTCGACTCTCGATCCCCGACGCAGGGGGGCCACCGTCGTCACGAGGCCGGGGCTGCTGGAGAAGCTGCGGAACTGGGCGCTCCCGTGGTGGACCAGCGACGCCTCGGCCGCTGGGCGTTCGCCGCGCGGCGGCGGTCGTCGACGCCCCCTCGTGGGCCTTCTCCCTCCATCTCCTTCTCGTCAGTTCCTCCTCCTCCTCGTCATTTCCTCCTCCTCCTCCTCCTCCTCCTCCTCCTTCTCCTCCTCCTCCTCCTCGTCATTTCCTCCTCCTCGTGCTCCTCCTCCTCCTCCTCCTCCTCGTCATTTACTCCTCGTGCTCCTCCTCCTCCTCCTCCTCCTCCTCCTCCGCCTCCTCCTCCTCCTCCTCCTCCACCTTGTGCTCCTCTCGGTGATGCGGGCCGTGCTGATCTCAGAAAGAAGCTGGGGCCCTAGACCCCCCCCTGGTTGGCCAACGCCAGAGGGGGGTAGGAAAACTCCAAGAGGCAATCTCTCTCTCTCTCTCTCTCTTTCTTTTTTGTTTTCTCTCTCTCTCTCTCTTCTTTTCCTTTTTTTTTTTCTCTCTCTCTCTCTCTCTCTCAAGGAGGAAGAGGAGGAGGCGGAGGAGGAGAGGAGGAGAGGAGAGGAATAGGAACAAGGGACGGGCACGTAGATGCGTCGGAAGTGGAGAGGGAGGGAGGTGGGTCTCACAGAACGGGGGGGGGGGAGGCGCGCTGCTCGGGACCGAACGGCGCCTCTTGGGTCCGGGCGGGCCCCTTCTCGAGGCCCCTTTGGGACCCTGTTCTGCAGCCCTCGCTGCCCCCCCAATCTCCTGCTCCTCCTCCTCCTCCTCCTCCTCCTCCTCCTCCTCCTCCTCCTCCTCACTTTACCGCCCCTCCCCCCCCCCCGCATTGCGCGACTCGGGCCCGCCGGGCAGCCCGCGGCGCGGGCAGGCCCCCCTGGCGAGAGGCACAGGGGTGGCGCCGAGGGAGGCGGCCCTCAGGGGGGTGGGGTGGGGGCGAGGATTGCAAGCCACTGAGGGGCAGGAGAGAGAGAGAGAGAGAGGGCTGGTCAGAAAAACCTGGGGGGGGCATCGGGTAGGACCTTTTTGTCACCGCGGACGGCTTCGACAGGCCAGCCTCGGGTCAGCGACAGGACCACTGTAGGGAAGAAGATCGTCCCCTTCTGCGGGATCGAACTCCTCAGCCTCCCTCTGCCGCAGCTCCGCGCCGAGGAAGGCGGCTTTCAAGGGGCGGGGGGGGGGCCGAGGAGGAGCCAGGAGCGGGGAGCGAAGGGCGAGGCGCGACCCAGACATGCCCGCGTCGCAGCAACAACAACATTCATGGCACCATCACCACCAACAACAGCAACGACTACCACAACCACAACCACAACCACAACAACAACACCAACAACAACAACAACAACAACAACAACAACAACGACAACAACAACAACACCAACAATACCAACAACAACAACAACAACAACAGCAACCAGCCAATTACCAACAACAACCATCAGCCACAATCAAAAACAACAACAACAACAACAACAACACCAACACCAACAACAACAACAACAACTCCACAACCACCACAAACAACACCACTTACAACAACACCAACAACGATTTAAACAACAATTACAACACCAACAACAACAACAACAACAACGACATCAACTACGGCCACAACCACAACCACAACAAGAACAGCCAACCACCACCAACAACACCATCAACACCGAGATCCGCCGGCCCCCTTGTGGGGCCACCAGGCTGTAGGAGCGGGGTTCGCAGCCTCCTGTACCAGTTGTAGCTTGTAGTTTCCAGTGTTACAGTTCTACTTCTTGCTGGTTTCTGTAACTAGTTGATTGTTCTCCTTCTTGCTGGTTACTGTAACTAGTTGATTGACCGCGCGAGGGGGGGGAGGCCCAAACCGGCTTTTTAGCGTCCCCTGGGCGCGTTGTCTGAATTGCTGGGGGGGCTCGAAATCGCCACCCCTCACGCAGATCCGCGGGGTCAGGGTCCAAAAACAAAAGGGATTTGCCACATTTCTAAAATTCGGTGCCACCCCTCACGCAGATCCGCGGGGTCAGGGTCCAAAAACATAAGGGATTTGCAACATTTCTGAAATTCAATGTCACCCCTCACGCAGATCCGCGGGGTCAGGGTCCAAAAACACATGGGATTTGCCACATTTCTAAAATTCGGTGCCACCCCTCACGCAGATCCGCGGGGTCAGGGTCCAAAAACACACGGGATTTGCCACATTTCTAAAATTCGGCGCCACCCCTCACGCAGATCCGCGGGAGGGTCCAAAAACAAATGGGATTTGCCACATTTCTAAGATTCAGTGCCAACACAAGGGATTTGCCACATTTCTCAAATTCGTGTGCCACCCCTCACGCAGATCCGCGGGGTCAGGGTCCAAAAACACAAGGGATTTGCAACGTTTTCTGAAATTCGGTGCCACCCCTCACGCAGATCCGCGGGGTCAGGGTCCAAAAACACAAGGATTTGCCACATTTCTGAAATTCGGTGCCACCCCTCACGCAGATCCGCGGGGTCAGGGTCCAAAAACATAGGGGATTTGGCACATTTCTGAAATTCGGTGCCACCCTTCACGCACATCCATCGCAAGGCGTGGTAACCCAAACTGCGAGAACTCCCTCGGCCCTTTAATCGCAAGGTGTGGTAACCAAGCCCGTAAACCATACACGTCTTACCAATCGCCAGGTGTGGTAACCCCTCTTGTGATCAGTTGGTTTTGCTGATTGCGAATCGGCTTCGCATGAAGTTCCGATACTGCTTCACGACAGTGCCAAGGCCTCATGACTTAGCTCTTCCATGGCCCATTCTCCGAGAGAGGGGGCCGGCGGCAGGGGGCGAAGCCCTTAAAAAACAACATCAACAACACCACCAACAAAACCAACAACGACAGCAACAACAACAACACCACCACAACCAATAACAACACGTGCAACAACAACCACACACCAACACCAACAAGATCAACTATAACAGCAATACTAATCCTAACAGCAGCAGCAACAGCAGCAATAACAACACAAACACCTCCAACAATCGTAACACCAAAACCGCAACAGCAACAACACTTACAACAAACCGACGACGACGACGACATCAACATCAATCACACCAACATCAACAACAAGCACAGTAACCACGCCAACCACAACAACAACCACAACAGCAGCAACATCACAACCAACAACAATCACAACACTTATTTTAAGACAGTTCGCTCCTATCTGTTCACGTTTCAATCAATACGTACCCGCCCTCGTCGTCTTCGATCGTACCCCCTTGGTGGTATATCTTCCTAACCTGCCACGCGCATTGAGTGCAGCCACTAAAGCAAGGGAAGAGGACGACCCATAGCGGGCAGGTCGGGAAGGCGGGCCCAGGCGACCTGTTCGAGCAGGCGGGTTGCTGAAGCGTGGGTCCTGCATGAATCGCGAAGAAGTCTAGAGCGATAGCGCGATTCCCAAGTAAATCGCGAGAAAAGCCAAATCGAGAGCGTGATTCCTGAGCGCCGAGGGCGCATCGTCTGAATAAATTGCGAGGAAGTCCCACGCGAAAGCGCGATGCGTACATGAATTGGGAGGAAGTCCCGCGCGAACTTGCGATTTGGGAATAAATAGTGAGAACGTATCAGACGGGAGACGCTGTTGTTGAAAACCGGGGGCCAGGGGCTGAGTTTGAGCCGCGCGACTTTCCTTGATAAAAAGACAGGGTGTGAACCCCAGAGGTATTTCAATTGAAACAACACAGAATGGTCAACGAAGGGGGGATCAACAATCGTTATTCTTCAGTAGTGCGTCGACTACAACTACAACTACAACTACAACTACAACTACAACAACTACAACAACAGTAACAAGAACAGCAGCAACAACAACACACACGACGGAAGACGAATGGCCACTTTCGGCCTCCGGGGGCCCTCGCCAGGAATCGGGATCGTCAAACCTACTCGGGACGAACAACTGGCCCCGGGGAAAGGGTCGGGACTTCCTGGGACCGCGTATGGAAAAAACAAGACGTCGCACATGTCTGGAGTTAAGTCGGGCCTGTCCCCCTACAGGCCGATCTTGGACAAACAAATAAAAAATATTGAACAAGTAATCAAAAGTGGTCAAAAATAGTCAAACAAATAATCCCCAGACTATTGTTTGACTATGTTGGAATGTTACCCCCTGCAAGGGGACACGCCGGCCTTGAGTCTGGGGGGGAGGAGCCAAGCAGTGGGGAACGGAGGTGGCGCGAGGAGGCCAAGAGGAGGAGGAGCGAAGGGGGCCCTCGCCCTCATTCTTCCAGACCTTCCGTACTGACCTTCCACGTTCTTGCGCTTCGTGAAACGCACGGTTTTCCTAATCTTCCTGAGGCTGTCAATCGTTTCAATGTATCACCTTCCGTGCCTTCCGCGGAGGTCGGAAGGTATAGAAGGTGGAGGTGGAAGGGGGGGGGAGCGAGAAGCGAGGCGGAGGGAGGACGAGGAGGGAGGAGCGGGGGTTCTCCCTGCACCTCAATCTTCCATACCTTCCGACCTCTGCGGAAGGCGCGGGAGGTGATGCATTGAAACCATTGCAAGCCTCGGGAAACGCAAGAAAACTCAGCGTTTCACGAAGCGCAAGAACGTGGAAGGTCAGCACGGAAGGTCTGGAAGAATGAGGGCGAGGGCTTGGAAGGCAGGCAGGCCCTCCCGGAAGGCCTCTTGGGGGCTTCTGGCCCTGCGGACCTCGAGCATATCGTGTTTCCTGTCGAATGCAGGCCCCGGCCCTTTCCGCTGGGCCAGGGGCCCTATCCTCCAGCACTGCTGGTTTCAGGGCGCTAGATCTCTGGAGAGAAGGGTCCGTGAGGAACCGGGCGACGCCCTCGCGAACGACGACGACGACGACGACGAAGACGACGCTTGCGATGACGACGCTTGCGACGGCGGCGCCGACGACGACGCCTTCGACAACTCGGACGCAACCCCGCCCAGTCGGCGGTCCGTGGGCGCTTGGGGGCCGATGCGTCCCCCCTGAACGCGCTCCCCCTCCTCCTCGTCCTCGTCCTCGTCCTCGTCCTCGTCCTCGTCCTCGTCCTCCTCCTCCTC